TTACTGAATTATGTAATAATTCTCTAATGTGTAATCACACACTTTCACCTTTATTTCAGATGTAAAATAATACACACCTGCGAGTGTGCAACACCGTAACCAATCAAGGGTTCAAGTGGGATTATAAACTACAAGAAGATGGCTTGCGTGCTTGGTGAATGTAATTTTAACCTTGAAATTTAGATGCCACCGCACATACCAATCATTCTCAATAGTACATGATGTTTTAATGAAAATAATGTGCAGTTCACAAAGACAGAAATGAATGGGATCATGGGACTCCTAGAAGAGACTAGCATGTTTCATTCAGTAATACTTTAAAGGTCCATTCAATGTATATTCCATTGGCATTTGATATAGCATTTTTCACATTGGGAAGATGTCTCAAAGTGCTTCACAGTATTTCCTGTAAAATGTAGTGACTTTATATTTTGTATTCTCTTAAAATTGGAATTGATACTGACGTGTAAATATTTGAATATGATTTTTGCCTGATTCATCTTAAAATACTCAATATTATAGTGCAGAAGCTTGCCTTTTTAGTATATACTGAAAATTATGCCCTCTTCATACATTGTTGTCCAGAGTGGATGGTATTTTAAACACTACATGTAGCAATGATATCTTTAAAAGACTCTTCAAAAAGATTAATATCAATATGGATAATATAAATAATACATATAATAGTTGATTCATATCAATTATGTTAACTAAAACTTTACAATGTGTATACATAATAATGAGCAGTGGTTCCAAGACATAACATTCCATCATTTTTTTTTCTATGTTATTTCCAGAGAATGTTCTAATTGTTAAAATACATTAAGTTATCTGTAGCCAAAGTAAACTTCTAATAATCAAGCAATTATATTTGGGAATTTATAGTTGGAGGTTCTTAAAGTCTCAAATTCAGGCAATGGCGAAATGAGCAATGGAGTGGGCTAGAACAATATCCTTTCACCTTTAAGTTCTGAATTTGAATTCAGATTGATAGGATATAAATGTATGTATATTCCATCACAGTATTAAATACATCTAGTTTTTACAACAGTTATATTCTATTGTGTTCCATAGGATATGGGCCAGTGTAGGATTATAGGTTTTGGAATCATTAACTTCTAAATTTATAAATATTCAAAGTCAGACTGAATCCAAGAGAAATTAAAACGTAAACATTTAAAAACTATGTTTTCTCAACTGATTTTAAACAAAATGTCTCATAACTTTCAGTGTCCAGCTACATTTTATATATAAGGCATTTTTTTAAAAAGCACATTTTGCCACTGGAGAAGCAGAAAGATCATGTTACATTTAGCTAGCACTTTTGGCAATGAATTGACAACAGTTTTGGCCATGTTTGCCGTCAAATATGCAGTAGAGACAGGGCTCATAAAGCAGACTCCATGCTGGAGCCTCACTCCTTACATCATCTATGGAGCGGTTTCAGCATCTGGGCAATCCACATGTGTGCGATGTGAATACAGAGGATGTGAATTGTATCAGGTTTGCTTCCCCCAAATGCTTCACTCCAAGCTCTCAGCAGGAGTTTTACATGCAGTATGTGTTAATTGTCATTGAAGAGTTGATCCTATGACCATCTCTTTAGACGTTAATCTCGAATGTGAAGGGTGCTATATAAGTGCAAAGTGTTGTAAAAATAAACCTTTTTTTAAAAAAAAGCCCTTAACATCATTATAAAATAAATACCCAGTCGCTATAATTTCAGTAAACTCTGTGAAGGGTTTGAGATGGTTCAGTGTGATAATAATAATTCTTGCATTTGATATAGCACCTTATCACATCTTTGAGACGTCTCAAAGTGCTTCACAGAATACACTGTAAAGTGAATTGAAGTATATTTTGTGGATGAAACAAAACAAATCCTTGTTGACTTTGCCAATAACATGTCAAAGTACACATGTGTAGAATGGCGAAATGAGGTGTTCAGTTTTATTTGACCTTTAATTGAGTCGATGGAACGTGCAGCATAAATTGGGCTTTCAACTCCACAATCAGTGTTCTTCTCTCTCAGATGTTTAAAATGCAGCACAGGGTTGATATACGGAGGTTGATTTATGCCACTCTTGTGGTTCATATCTTATTGAAATAAGACATGGTTCAAAATGTGTTTGTTAAAAAATAATATATCCACATTACATTTTTTTCTTCCCACAAAAGTTCTTGGGTAACATAGCAAGAACAAAGTACCAATTTAAATTAAATATGGTCCATTAAAAGCTTTGAGTTTCACACAGTTTTATAGTTAGTTACAAATCTACAAGTTTTCTATAATCCTGTTACTGCTTGTGGCTTATAAAAAAAGTTTTTTTAAATTATTGCACAATGAGTTCCACATTTTGGCACAGAATACAGATGTTGTAAACATTGCTATTCAAAATATTTTTTTTAAACCAATAATTTTCTGCTTTGGAATACAAAACTGAATTGGAATTGACAGTTTTATTTTTTGAGACAATATTCTGCCATATAACTTAAGGTTTTGAATTGCACTCTGGCCAACTGTAAAGCCACATCACATTTTAGCTTGCAACAATCCAAACTGCTTGAAGTAAAAAAAAAAGTCAGTTAAGGAATTTTTTTTTGTTCAGTCTAACGACAAAATATCTTTACTTTTTGCATATGTCATAATAAAAGTGAGAGCAGAAACTCGCCCCTTGCTGCAAGCTGAGCTGAGCTAAGCTGCAGCAAGGGCAACAAAAAAAAAAGCTGACGAATCTGGATACTGTGGGTTTCTTGAGCGTAATTGGGCTGGAGAAATTGTGCCAGGGTGCCAACGACCAAGAGTCTCCTGCCAATGTGGCAGCATGTTGCCACTTTACTAGTTCAACTGGTTCAGTGTAGTTGCAGGATCCTGACACGACCAGCTCTGCATTTGAACTCCTGCACACTCCAGTGGATGGAGACTTATCTGGGTTGCAAAACTGGCTTTCCATTGACTGACCTTTTTGACTAAACCCACGACACTGAGGTTGCAGCTGACGTGTTCTTTGGCATCAACTCAGTGGGTCTGTCTTTAGCTCCAGCAATAAGGAAGATAGGAGTCTGAAGCTGCCCCCCCCCCCCCCCACCCCCCTCCCCACCTACGCACTAAGTGAATTGCGTCTTGTACCACTTATAGGGTGGACGATCCGCACAAGTTTCGCACAATCTAAACACGTTCTCCACTGCAACAAAAATAACACTGGGACGCATTTGAAGCAGAGGTTGGGTTGATTCATTCAAAAACAACGTCAGCCTCCAATTCCCCGACGCTCTCCAAATAAACACTCGACACTGAAGCTCAAGCAACGGCCAACAAGAGTTCAGAGCGCATTGCAGAAGGGAAAATTCTATGCAAAAACCCGATTGGTACTTTTTTTTTCTTCTTTTTGCTGAACAAAAAGACCAAAGAAAATGAGACGAGGATAGTTGAGCAATTCTGGGCTGACACTGTTTCTGGGCACCTTTCCCCCAAATAAGTTTCTCTCTCTCTCTCTCTCTGTCTCTCTCTCTCTCTCTCTTGTTTAACCCTTTCCATCTCGTTTTAGATGTTATTTCGCGGCGGTTCGGTTTCTCGTGGATTCCTATAGCCCCCGTCCCCCCCGTCCCCCGTCCCCCCTCCATCGCTTCTTTCTCTTTCCCTCTTCAACGAGGAAAATATTCGTGCAACGCCTATACTCGCCAAAGGCGTCCTGGGGCGCTACCTGTGCCCTGCAGCTGCTCTGCCCTCTGTGTGGTTTGCAAACCACCTCTGCCAACGCGTTGCAGTGGTGGTGACACTTAGCCTCTGATGTGGCAACCGAGGAGATCAGGGGGCGAGAGAGGCGATGGCAGTTAAAAGTTCCACACTAAGGACCAAAGATGGATAAAGGCTAAACGATAAGCTAAGAGAAACCCCCCCCCCCCCCCCCCCCAAAAAAAGACATCATGCTTTAAGAGGTGAAACTGCGGGGAGTATTGCGCGTGGGAAGAAGACACGAACTTTTAGAGAAGTTATGTAAAAGGTCCAATGAAAGGGGGGAGTGGGGTGGGGGGGGGGGAACCTCCTTACCTTATATAACTCAGAGAAAACGGAGCGACCGAAACAGATATGGGTTTAAAAAGGGAGCAAATGATATCGCAGGTTACAGAAATAAAGGCTGCGGATATGAAGACACAGGGAAATAGAAAGAGGGGGGTGTAGTCTATTAGAAATGTGCATCGATGGCAGTGTCTCTCACGTCGGGAGGAACTTCCCAAAGCGCTTCTCCATCCCAGTTTATTGATAAAAGGGTTTCCACACACGCGATGGACTGAATGCAGTGGCACAGCCCCGCGGTTCCTCTCTCTGCTCTCTGACAGATGAGAAAGCCAACACGAGAGGAAAAGGAACACAGATCCCCATCCATGTAAAATCGCATCACAGCGACTTTTAACCGAGATAAAGATATCGATGATGGCCACAGGGATTTTTTTTCACACATACACACACACACACACACACATACAGGCGCAGCCCTGGATTCAGGAGGTAGGGGCAGGTGCTCGGTTAGTCATCCACACCTGGAAATCCCGTCACTTCACACAGTTTAAAGGGCTGGGTTTGGGGGTTGGGGGGGGTTGGGGTTGTGGGGGGAAGATCGCCAGCTTTATTAACGAAGACTCTGCTCACAGTCAGCGGTTTGCACTACACACACAACACAACACACAACACACACAGAGCTGTTTCCGCGTCTTCTCAAAACGCGCACATTCGCTGCGATCCAATGAGAGCCAAACTCCGGCCACCAGGGAAAGGGTGAAATCATATGGAAGAAACAGGGCAAAGGATATCTTTTTTTTTAAAAAAAACACCTTTGACTATGGATCTATATGTATATACACACACACACATAAATATATATAGATATATGTATAAAGTGTAGCCCAGCCGGAATACTTTGTCAGGAGGATCTCTGGATTAATGCAGTCGGATAAGACAGTTTGCACATCACTATAAATCAGATAAAGTTAACCCTCACCTGGCCGGCTTCCTGCTTTCCTGGTGCACAAGGTTCACTGCAACACCGCTTCAGTCAACAACACTATTACAGGGACGCTACAGAAATTGGCGAGAGAGGCTCTGGTTACCACTGGCTCCATAAGAAGAGAGCAGTTGGATCTCGGTACAAATTCTCGCAGAGCTGTTTGCAGTCACATTTAAAAGCACGAAAGTCTCCAAACCCCCTCGCGATCATTGGCCAGAAAACTTGGAATCGCAGCAAATTCATCCGCCCACAAAACAGACCCAGGGAACATTTCGACATTTTCACACCACACGAATTCCCTTTGCTTTGCCAGTGATGGATATTGCCAGCAATATTTTTTTTTTGGGGGGGGGGGGGTGGTGGGTGGGGGGAGAGGAGGGGGTGTTTGTTGGATGACTGGCCTCGTTGCTGAACTCTTAATCGACGCACATATGGTATGATTAATCTCAGTGCAATTTATTTTTCTGGTGCAACATTTTTCACCCAAAGCAAAAATAATGTTTGGATGTGTAAAAGTTTCCGGTCGAGTTTAATTTGTGTTCATTTCCACTCTTTGTCAGCGTCAGTCTGTTGACAAAACCCATGTTCTTGGGTCTTAAGGACATTTAATATATCTTTCGCTACCCCCACCCACCCCCCCCCCCAAAAAAAAGTACAGTCAATTTACTTTGCAATATATTCTGCGAATCGTTTAGAGATGTCTCAACGATGTGATAAGGCGCTTTATCAAATGCAATGTTTATTATTATTGTTATTATTATTATGTAATGCTTCATATTTGAGAAATCCAAACAGCATATCATTAAAGGTAAATTAACAATTGTAAAGCATGAGTGGCTCATTCCCCCTTCACTCATATTTGGAGTCCTGTAGCTCAGTGGTTAGAGCACTCGCTTTGCAAGCGAGAGACCTGAGTTCAATTCCAGGCAGGGCGAAACCTTGGGCAAGTTTCCTTACTCCACATGCCTAATAATAATCCCTCCAAAAAACCAAAAACAATAATTAAATTGGTCATTTTCAATCTACGACTGTTTGTGGGACATTGCTGTGCGCAATTGGCTGCCGCGTTCGCCCACAAATATACAGTCAATTCACTTTACAGTGTGTTCTGTGAAGCGCTTTGGGACGTCCTCCTGACGTGAAAAGCGCTATATCAAATGCAAGGATTATTATTATTATTATTATTATTTATATTATTTTATTTCGCGTTTTAAATAAATGAAATGAAATGACTTTGGGGAAACCGGTGAGCTTTCCCTGGTTGGCAATGTCCATGTACACGCAATATAACTGTGCTTTGCTGGTCAGGTTCTTCATGTGTGGCCTCGGGGATATTCATGCAAAAAAAAAAGGTCAATATCGTCGGACAAGTTCGGGAAAATAAAGAAGTTAACGTTAATTCTGACCGTTTGCAGGCAACGCTTTAAAAGAGGTCGCCCCGTGGGTGAAACTTGTTCTTTAATGCTTTTCCCCTTCTCAACACACAACAAAAGGATGCACTTAAATAAAAACCGAAATTGCAGGCGCTGGAAATAAGACAAAGTTTGCATATGCAACAAGCAGGAACAGCGTCGGGTTAGCAATGCGACATTGCTTCCAGTAGGAGCGGTTCGGAAAATTGCACTGTAAGTGACTTATTCCCAGCGATTCCTGCAGCCTTCAGCCGAAGCTGCGCTCAAATCAAACACATCCACTACACGTGTACCAAGTGCATGCGCAGAGCCCCGCTCCCCCACCACAAAACAGCAGGTATTTCACGTCTGAACGTTACTGAGCAGCCAGGAGCAGAGCTGGTCCTCGAATAACATTGGCAGTATTATCACTTTTCAGTGAACCGACCGAAAACTTTGGAAGTTCGTAGTTTTGAAAGGTTTAAATTCGATTCTCATTGGCTGCAGTAAAAAACTAGTGTTCCCTTGGACAAACTGTTCAATCCCTACAGGACCGTGTTCAGCATCTCAAGTATGTGATTTTGTAAGGCTCTGCAATTGACTTAGTGATAGGAAAGCTGGATGTGTAGGTGGGATGCATGGCATTCTCGGTTGGGTTTGGAGACTCCTGAGCATGGTGGTGGGTTTCCAAAAAAAGGAGAGCTTCTTCTGTACAAAGATGGCATTGCACCATTTCTCTTTCAATGTAAAGTCAGCGTTAAGCCTCGAACACATACATATCAGTCAGTATTATAAAATGCAAGATTATAAAACGTGATCAGAACTGTCAAGGCACCTCGATGTTGACCAATGTTCTGGATACGTAGTTTTGTGGAGTTCTGTAGTTTAGTGGTTTAGAGCACTTGCCTCGCAAGCCAGAGGACCTGGTGTTTGATTCCCTGGCAGGGCGAAACATTGTGCAAGTTTCCTTACTCCACACACCTCTGTTTACCGAGCAGTCAGTAGGAACCCGGTTGTTAGTTGATTGGCGGATCACTTTTCTGGGGGTAATAATCCCCTCAAAAAGATTAATTAATTCTAAAAAACAACAATAATACTAATGATGTGGTCACTGAATCCATGACTGTTTGTGGGACACTGCTGTCCTCAATTGGCTGCCCACAGAATATGCAGTCAATTCACTTTACAGTATATTCTATGAAGTGCTTTGAGACATCTCAAAGACGTGACAAGGCACTATATCAAATGCAAGAATTATTATTTTTATTGCCAAATCACTTTATCAGAGAGTTGTGTACATATTTCCCAAGTTTATTGAAGATGTATTTTGCCCAAATCATTTTAAAATGTATTATCTCACACATTTAACTAAAATTAAATAGTTTAGAAGTCTGGCTTGTTTTGTTTTAATATTCACAGCCTGAAAAAAACTATTTCAAAATGACTATTCTTAACTGTTTAGGGGGGAACGTTATTAACATATCTTTCGTCGTCATAGATTTGCGTAAAAAGTAAACATTTTAACTATATCAGAATCTTATTTGAAAAGAGGAAAATCTTTGCATAACAAAAATAAAGCTAACAATGGTTTAAAATGTAAGCACAATAAATACAAAACTATTTAAAACCGATACTGTCTTCTTTATGGAAGTAACCCTTTCGGTATCTATGCACAATAAGGATATAAAACTGAAATAATTCATTCTAGTGTGTTCCTGATGGAATATCATTGATGAAAAGTAAGTCCTTAACATTATTATTTCGTATTCAAGAAGGTAGTTGTTTCACTAACACAACAATATTTCTTTAAGGGGGTTAACATGCGGACCCAGTTCTGATTTCCACTTACTGAAAACATCAAAAAGTCAAATGGAAAGTTGACCATTGCTTTTTTATATAGAGCACAGTTGACCGAGCAGCTTTGGTTTCTCCAGATTCTTCTAATAGTTTTTGAACAGTTTCCTTTAATCAGTATGTGCCTCTTTGACCCTCTAATTAAAAAGAGAATCGTTTCAAACAGTTGCTGAAGTTAATGTGAACCAGCGTTCTGACACTAGATAATGCTGGAAGGAAATGCCTTCTTTTCCCATAGATGAACGTCTTTTAATGCACCTCGGTTCAATGCATTAGGAGGTTTACTTGTTTCCTGCCGAAATAGGAAAGGTTAGGAACTAGGAAAATAGGAAAACCCGCTCTATTTCGTCAAGTGTGCAGAGCAAATTATAACAGAAAAGTCCTAAGCGTCTGCTGTTAGAAAACTCCACTCACTTTTTAGACTTTATGAGAAGATTTTGTCGAATTAAGGTTTACACAATACTATATTGGAATTCCATTTGGCACTGGGTTCAGAATATAAATCTCCTGTCAGATTAATAGAAATCTCACTGGACTCTTTCGGAGCCCCAGAAAACTATAGTGTTACAGTATTGAGAAACCTTTTTCAAAAAAAAGACACAGTTGATCCAGGGGCAAAAAACATAAAGATGTTTACGCCTAAGATGTTCTTTTCTCAACTACCTCTCTAATGAATATTGTATTTTACGGGCACCCTGTCACGATCCTACTTAAAACTCAAGAGGTTTATAAACTTTAAAATCGCTTTGTAAATGTTCAAATGGCTTCTATACCAAACGAATGGAAATGGTTTACATTAATTTTGAGTGAATCTGTAAAGCATTAAAATGTCACACACGTACTTAAAAAACAACAACTAACACTTCAACCGAAAACAACTAAGTCATTAAAACGGCTGTAAAGTCGGAGCAATCGGAAAAAGAAGGGAATCACCTCTGTGCGTATTTGTATATTTTTAATTTTGTTTCAAATAAAGGGACGCAAACTGCTGGGGCGGTCAATGGATTTGGACTTAAAACGAATCATCCATTACCCTTTGGCAGATAAACAAATGTAACGTTGTGGGTAAGATCACCCCCACGCTTGCTGTGATTCTTTCATTGCTGAAAGTGGTGCACAGATGCGTTGGTGCATTAACTTTTTATTCATTGATAAATAATGTTAATTTTAAAAATAGAAAGAAGCCATTGAATCATTGCGTTCGAGGTCTGTCCCCTGTGTGTGTGTGTGTGTGTGTGTGTCGCATCCTCCTATGTCTCCCTTGTGTCCGACTGTTTACAAGCCTTGAGCTGTTTTTATATATTTGTGATGCACATTTTACACTCACACAGGCACCAGGAGCAGGAAATGCACGTGGGGAAACTGGTCTGTGTGCGGCCACGAGAGCTAAGAGGATGTGAGTGAAATGGTCACAGTTCATACACACGCCACACATTGACTGCATCAATGCACGTGTATACCTGGTCAGATTATACCTTAAATACCAACTTGGGGATAATAGACATGAAGCAAATAAACCGAGAAACACATAAGAAATATGTATATGTACTAAATATATCCCTGTGTGTGTGGATATGTATAATATATAAATATATATCAACAATTATGTTCATTGCAAATTCAAGCCTGTGTTTCCCGGGTTCTCACTTGAGGCAATAATCCTGAGTGTCTCCTGGGATCGTGCTTGTGTTTCCAGTCAATGAAGATGGGTAAGTAAATCGGTCCGTGCGCTCCCTAAAATAAATTCCATGCTGCACCAGCCCCTTTCATATTTATGCTTATGTATGGAATAAATTGAATATATATATGTATATATATTTGAACTGGAGGTCTGGTTAAGGGTGCAATAGGTCGGCGCGATTGTATTATATTGATTTGATACTATCC